ACAGCAGGGTATGTGTGTATGTATGTAAAACCCTACAGAAGTAACACTGATCTTAAACAAACCTCTAATTAGCTCTAGGAAAACAAACCTAGAGATGCAGAAATTATTGGTTTCTGGCCTAATCATGAGGCACAGCTTTAACTAATCAATAGGGCTCATATAAATCTAACTCTCTGGATTAGAAAGACATAAACCTGCATTTACAGAATTTATTTCTAAAAATGTTTACTGCCCTACCTAAAGCATCTAAATACAGTGTTCTTCCCCAAACCATAAAGATTAAGCTCCTAAAAGCCACAGTGGTAAAATTTCTCATTTATAGCAATGTAGAATGGGACCGCATGTGGTTGAGGGGACAAAGAATTGTTAATAACATTTTATGTCTCTTGATAGCAATGGGGATTGTGTAGTGTGATCTTTCATTTACTTGTTCTTTGAAAACGTTTTAGGATCTGTTTCCCCCAAAATTTCAATGAGATATTTTAAAATTCATTTTACCTCCCACTCCCCCATATCCTCTACATAAATATTTAAATAGTTTCTCATTTAGCAACTCAAGAGTTGCTGACTCCCAGCCTCCAAGAGATGTAGAACGAATTTTGGATGTTTAAAAATAAAAAGCTTTAAGTGATTAACTTAACTTGCTTAGTTGGCGCCGCACAGCTGAGTGTGTACTCCCTAAACCCATCACCAGCACACAGTTACATAACTTGTGACAAAGCACATGCCATCAACTATGATGCATATCCCTTCATTTCCATTTTGAATAATGTTCTAAGTCTGTGGCTTACTATGTCCCATCCTCTTCTATCAACCTCAATGTTGTATTGCAAAAAATCTTTTTGTCTGATTTGCTTTTGGTTTCACTGATTTATTAATTCATCAGATTTTCACTGAGCACTTTCTATGTGCTAAGTACCATGCTGGAAATTGTAAAACAATGTAAGCAAGTTAGTTACAGCTCCTTTCTTCAGAAAGCTTACCAAGCAGTGGGAAAGACAATTAATTAAACACATATGTTTTAAGTTCGCATAGCAGAAGTGCAAGATGCTATGGAGACACATAGCAAGGACATTTCACTTAGTCCAGAGAGTTCCAGTAATGCTTCTCAGAAGAAGAATATATTAAATATAGGTCATAATACCTAGACTTGGCAGGAAAGGAGTGGTATTCTTTACAGCGGGGACAACATGTGCAAAGATTAGACTGATTTCAGGGAACTAAAACAAGTTCAATATGACTAGAAAATAAAATGCAAGGCAGGCAGCAAAAAGAGATGAGTCTGGAGAAGTAGACAGAAAGAAGGCATGGAAAGTCTTATGGGCAAATTAAAGTTCTGAAACAGAACAGATCAGATAGAGCCTTGCCAGCCATGTCAAGGATTTTGATTTTTCTCCTAAAACCAATGGGAAGCCTTTTTAGTGAGTTTCATGATTAGATGTGCCTGTATGGATTACAAGCTGCAATATGGAGAACAGACCAGAAAACAGTCAGAGGAGATGTTGAGAGGTTCAGTAGGAGACTAAGACTATGCAGCAGTCCAGGTGAGAAATGCATTGGAAACAAAAAGGCAAGGATAGATTTTGAGGTAGAACTGACAGGACTTGGTCAAGATGATAAATGAAGGCATGGGATGTAATAAGGATGACAATATGGCAAATGTAAGCTGAGGGTAACATTTACTGAGCTAGGAAACAGAGGAGAATGTTGTTATTTTCTAGGTGGATTAGGGAAGAAAAAGGGAGAGAAAGATTATGAGTTGAAACACACTAGTCCACCTGCTTATTAGCTACATGACTGTAGGCAAGTTAACTTGTCTAAGCCTCGATCTTCTCATTTATAAAACATGGAAGATAACAGTACCTAATGGTGGCGCAGTGGTTAAGAGCTTGGTTGCTAACCAAAAGGTCTGCAGTTTGGATCCACCAGCTGATCCTTGGAAATCCTATGGGGCAGTTCTATTCTGTCCCATAGGGTCGCTATGAGTCGGAATAGACTCACCGGCAACGGGTTAGCTTTTTTTTTTTTAAAAATGTCATATGAAAATATTGGACAGATTAAGTAAAATAAGCAAGATAACATATGTAAAGCTTTTATCACAGAACTTGGCACACAGTAAATTCCTATAAACGTTAGAAGTGTCTGTTTTTGTAACTATTTAAGAGGTCATTTAGATGTCTCACTAAAGAGTGACGTATTGAACACACACTTTCTGAATTCAGACTCTCCCAAAACTCCATTAGGATGTCTGTAAAAGAGTTTTTTAAAAAGCATAAACTCATCAAAAAAATAAAAAGTTGAGAAGAGGCAAACACTGTAAACTTTCTGAAGGTAGACAGCAGGTGGACAGCTGATAACCGGCCTAGGATACGCTAAAAAGCTGAATCCTAAGCCAGTAGTGGGAAAAGCCAAGAAACAATCTGATTTATTCATCAAAATCCCCAAAAGGCTCAGGAATTGGTGGTATCAAATAACTCTGAAGTGGGGCTGAAGGTGGGGCTAAACAGAGAAGAATTGTTTTTAAAGTCTGCTAAAAAGCAGTAAGACTCCCCTCCCCAATATCTTCACTTTATTTCCCTCCAGCCAAGTAACTCCCTTTACCCTCTCCCCTCCTCGGCAGAAAACTAGAGATTTTTCCCTTTGGAGAAGGTAAAACTGGACTAGGGGATAACAGGCAGAGATGAGGATGGGGGTAATGACAATTGGGAGATTAAGTGAATATTTATATCTTAAACACATGTAATCCTTTTCCTCATCTTGGCTCCCAGAATGCTAGCAGGAAAGCCTTCAACCCCTAGGAGGAAGATTAGAAGATTTTTCTCTGAGGAATTTACTAGCCCAAAAGGAGGAATCAAAAGATGCTGACATCAAGGGTTCCACAAGGCAATGGCCCTGCCAGTTTATATTATGTTTGCACACATAATAACAAGCCCAATCTAAAGCTACTAAGTAAATGCCGCACTCCTAACAGGAGTCAACAACCAAAAATCTTCCAACGTTCAGGAGGGGACAAGGGGGAAAGAAATCATTTGCCTCTAGAGGAATTCGTATTAGTTTCTTTTGTTTCACCTTACAAACTAAGTTCTGTATTGCTAATCTGGAATCACTGGAAGTTTTTCCTAAAATAACAGCAAAATATTGATCAACCAATTTTCTTTCTTGCTTTTTGCTTTTTGTTTGGTGAGTCCCAAGGATAGAATATCAAGTTAGCAAAGGCTCTCTATTGCTTTGAAGAAACTGTCCATTCAGGTATCTGCCTCCTTTGAGAGGCAAAGGCAGAAAAAAATAAAAGTGTCACCATCCCCAAAATGGTGAACCTTTGGTCAAAACCACCAAAGTACCTCTGACTGTATTTATTCTTTTTGAGGAAACTGATTTTTCCCTGCCATCAAGTGCCTTGCAATAGCTAAAATGGCCCTTGAACCAAACAGCTCTAACTCAGAAGCTTTACTCTACTTCTTCTGAGTTAAAATGTCAAGTCTCTCTTCACAAAATACAACACTGAAAACAAAATACAAAGAACCATGTTTTAAAAGAATGTTAAGTAAAAAATAAGACCATTTCACTAAGTACATTATTAGAACCAACTTGTTAAATAACTCCTCAATTACACTATAATATCCAACAGCAGGAAAAACCGTGTCTTCCAACTGAAAAACTAAAGAAAATGCAATGTATTCTCTGGAAGGTTAAAATCCTTTTATCCTGAGATTGTCCTTCTTACTTTTTGTTTTTAAAATGTAATTTCTGGTATAATAACGTAGGGAAACTACTTGGCAGTATCTACTAAAGTTAATACAGATGTATACCCAGCAACTCCATTTCTAGGTATATAACCAACTGAAATAAGCACTCATGTCCACCAAAAGACATGTACAAGAATGCTCGCAGCAGCTTGATTCATAACAGCCATCAACTGGAAACTACCCTAATGTCCATTAATACTACAATGAAGAAACTGGAATACTAGGTAGCAATAAAAACAACAACAACAACTGCTACATGGATAGACAACATGGAAGCATCTCACAGATACAATGTTCAGCATAAGAAACCTGACTAAAGAGTACATACTAAAATATTCTTTTTACATGAAGTTCACAAGAAGGCACAACTAATCTAAGGTGACAGAGGTTAGAATACCAGAAAAGGAGGGGTCCTGGAGAAGCTTTCTAAAGTAAGAAAAATATTCTATATTTTGATATGGGTTGATAGTTGCATAAATACTATGAAAAAATCATCAAGCTCTATATTTAAGATGTGTAATTCACCATATGCAAGATATACCTCAAAAAGAAAAGTTTACTTACAAAATAATAAGTTGCAACTCTATACTGGTGTTCCCAAATAATTTTTCCCAACTTTTATTTTGAAAAAGTATAAATCTACAGAGAAATACCAGTACAGTTAACAACCGTATGCCCTTCACTAGATTCACCAATGGCTGATTTTGCTACAGTCACTTTCTCCCTCTCTGTTTTGGCTCAACTATTTGAAAATAGGTTATAGATATCATGACATGTCACCCCTAAAGGACAGTCTCCTACATAACCAAAGTACCATTATCACAGCCAACAAATTTAGCATTGATATAATAGTATTTAACATATGGTCCATATTCGAATTTCCCCACTTGTTCCAGAAATGTCCTGATATATTCCTACCACCCCAATCCAGGATCCTAGCAAGAATTAATGCATTATATTTGGTTGTCCTTTTTCTTGATGGTCCTTTAATCTAGTATACCATGCTCCACAAGTGCCTTTTCATTTTTTTATTTATTTTTGATCTTTCATGACATTAACAATTCTGACTCAATTTAGTTTTCAAAACCCATAAGTCTATAAACAAACGATATATATTTCCTTAGTGTTTTATGCAATCTTTAGCACAGCACTGGCACTGAAATACCTGTATCCTGACAGACTAGTCAAATAAAAAACACAGACAGGATGGTTCAATTTTCACATGTGGTGTATGACCATTCTGCTTTAACTCACCGTTGAGTCTGAGCAGGCCATGGGGTCTGGTTTGGCGTAGGCACTGAATTCGTGGGACTCACCAGCATGGCACTATAGATATTGGAAGCAACCACAAGTATGCAGAGAAGTATGGGCCCGATGATTGCTCCTTCCAGGCCTAGGTAGTATGCTCCGCCAGCCACTGCCAAACCAGTCAAGTAAGGATGGCCACCTCTGGAATGAAGAGCACACTGATTAGTTCATGAGTTTTAACAAATACAAACCTTGTAGTAAATTTGAAATACATTCTCTTAACACAAAGTTAATGATTAAATGCAGCATACTTTTTATTATATTATCAGCTTTAGGTTTAGCTTTAGATTACCTCAACACAGATAACTGAACATTGACTGTAATAATATTGAGATGCAAGAATTTCCTTGCAAATGCAGCATGTGTGTGACATACGCTTCTCTTTATAGGTCATCAACTAAAGGAAGAAGTCCGTATTGTTAAGCGATACTCTGAACTCATTACAGGGAGCCACCTAAGGTGGGTTAATGTTGACCTCAGACTGGTTACATAAGCCAACTATTAGATTTTCCTCCATCAAGAATAATTAACTGGGTACAATTTAGGATGTAATTCAATTAATTATGCTTTTTACAAAACAACAACAAAACAGCATCCCTGTTATTCATAGGTTAGATTTCTGGCAACCTCCAAAAATACTGTTTTTAACATTGTAAATAAAAAAAGGCCTTATGCAGAAAATATCTGTCATAAAGCCCAAGATTTTTCTTTCACAGGAGAGTCATAATTGCTTTCCAGTTTATCACAGTATCACATAAGTAGAATGAAATAGATTATAGCAGCACAACACACTGGTAACGATAAGACATGACCACTGACATACAAGGGAGTAAGAAATAAGACATGTTTGTTTTCTAGTTTTTAAACACAGATGAGTACAACAATTTAGTGAGGGGTAAATAACTAAATGCCCTGGAAGAATGTTCTGTATTACATTATAGTTCAATAAAACTTACAGTGAATGAGTCTACCTCATTCCAAAAAAAACTTAGGGCAGTATTATATGTATGCTATAATAAGTAAGCTTTTCCTTAAACCACAAATTCAAGGAAAATTTCTATCAAAACTGCTTAAAGCATTTAAAAAAAAAGAAAGTGTAGGGCTTTTAAATAAAAGCTTAATTTATTAAAAAACAAAACAATTTATGCTAAACGTTTCATTTCCTAATACCCACTGCCACTGAGTCAATTCCAACTCATAGTGACCCTGTAGGACAGAGTAGAACTGCCACGTAGGGTTTGCAAGGCTGCAATCTTTATGGAATCAGACTGCCACATCTTTCTCCCTTGGAGTGGTTGGTGAGTTCGAAGTGCCGACCTTTTGGTTAGCAGCCAATTGCTTTAACCATTGCGCCACCAGGGCTCCTTCTCATTTTCCTAAGGTATATTTTATTATTAAAAATACAACCACGTGTAAGTTTTAAGTTCTAGCTATAAACCTTAATATAAAATTTGTAGCAAAGTTTAAAGAAATGAAAGCACCTAAGTATGAATTGTATACCTATTCCTACTGTTTAAACTTCAACTGTTAAACACACTCTGATGTTCTCCTTTTAACTTTGTCTTTCAAGTTTTAAGCATAAAATTTCCTCCAAAGTTTACTTGTGGAGTTGCCTATTTCTTTTTACTCTGAAACTTTGGGGTTCAGAGTAGTTCTATTATCAAATTATTTTCTACTTTAACTTACTAAGGAGAAAACAAGGTGGGCACACAATTTATCTCTAGATAATTTCAAATTAAGTGAAAGGAACTCTTTCTATAAATCTGGATCCTGCCAGCCCTTATTGTAATGGTGAGTTTTACATAAAGAAAATTTAATGTATTAACTATTACAATAGTCTTAGTAGACCATATTCTAAATTTGATTTGTTGTTATTTTTAGCTGCTGTCAAGTTGGCCAGACTCATGGTGACTCCATGCACACTGGAGTCAGACCATTGTGATACAGAGGGTTTTCATTGGCTGATTTTTGGAAGTAAATCACCAGGCCTTTCTTCCTAGTCTGTCTTAGTCTGGAAGCTCTGCTAAAAACTGTTCAGCACCATACCAACAGGAGTTGCTGATCAAAATTCAACACTTGGTCACATCCTAGATTCCAATAAGCAATGTGAATCTGGATAGGGAATGTATTTACTATCATGATTAAATGAGAATCAGCTTGACTTACTTAATGTAATTTCTGAAAGAGATATAAACATCTACAAAGATAGCTAGATATTATGGCCAGAGTTTTTATTCTGACTTAAATTTAACCTGCTTTCATCTTACAATCATACTATTATATCTTAAATCCTGCTTGTCAGACATTAACTTGCAGAGGTCTGGTTTAATATGGAAATCCTCAGAAATACAACCTAATAATGCTTTTTTTTTCCTTAAAAGCAAAGAAGTTCTGAAAATAATCACTACCTCTTTATTGTACTTAAAATATTTTATGTACATCTGTTAATATGTCTTTCCTAGGTTAAATGTCACTAAGTCAAGAGATAACTACTCATAATTTGGTATTCACCCAGGGTATCATATAATGTAAACAACACTTATATAGTAACAAAATCTCATACCTTACATTAGTTGTTTTTAAATTAAACTTTTATCAGTGGGAACACAAAAGGCTACTTCACTGAAAAATCCTACCACCACTGTCCTCTTCTCCTGCTCCCAGAAAAGGAAAAACAGCAACAAAAAAACTCTATAAAAAAAAGTAGTACAACTCTCCCTGGATGATTCACCAGCAACTTTAAAAATTCTGTAGAATACTTACCCTGATATATCAGAATAGATTGCAGTATCTACAAAGTATGTTGGCAAGAGATGAAAAACTAACAGTAAGATGGCTTTGCATCCTAACCCTTGTGTAAGCCACAGGTCTAGAACTGCAGGTATTGCTGCCCAATATGTCCCCAGAAATGGCACTGCTCCAAGGATTGCTGCCAAAGCTAATAAAAAATTAAAAAAGGGAAAGCAACTTAACATCATCATCAAAACAGTAACAAAACAGCATAACTAGCTCCTCCTGCTTAAAAATCTCCACCAAAATAAGTTAAACAAATACAAACTCAAGTTTTAGGGCAATGATACATGCTGTTTAACTGAATTTTCTAGTTAACTAAAGGTCCAATCTCTTAAAACTTGACGATGAAGATATTTCTAAAGGGTATACCTACTTTGTGAATCTGCTCTTAAGCAACAAAATTTTAGTGTCCTGCGATTACTATTCTGATCAATGGTTACCAGTGAATATAAAGTCCTATAAACGCAACCTCAGAGCATTAGTCAAAATTTGTACCAAATCCAAAGCCAAATTAGAAATTAGTTTCTAAACCTAAAATATGAGTGCATATTCCTTTACCTTGCTTCTTTCTAATAAAAATGGACTATGATTTACAAAGCAAAACCAAAATAACCCTGACACTGGAAGGACCTCACTTTCAGCCCATCCCCTTTCACAGCAGTTGTTCTAGTACTCTCTCCATCTGGCTCCCCTCCAGACTAAGAGTCAGCAGACGAGCGTTCTAGTTCTGGTTCTACTATTAACCAGGTGTGTGACCTTGAAAAACTTTGGTTTCTCATCTATAAAACAGAATAACACCACCTATTTTGCCTGCCTCACAGGGTTAAAATAAAGTAACAACCTTCACGTGCTCTCAGGGTGCTTGCATGTCAGAGGGTGGGATGGTGGATACCAAAGTGGGAAAGAACATGAATGAACTTGGGAATGTAAAGAAGGAAGAGGGCATAAGTAAAAGGAGGAAAAAATGGTGGTAGAGGTAAATATGGAAGGCAGATACATTTAGGAAGATAAGCAGCCACAGAAATACAGGAAGAAAAAGGAGGAAGAATGAGGAAAAAATAACACAGCAGAAAAAGAATAAGATGATCATTAAATTTAGAATCCCTAGGTACCTGGTGTTTATGGAATTAAGATATTATCAGAACAGATCTTGGGATGTATGGAGGCAGCCTATCTGCCCTCAGAAGCATGCAACTTGTGCCCAGGACAGTATCCCAAATGGGACAAACCTATTTGATAACTCACTGCTCCCTGCCAACCAGTTCAGTTCAAACAGTCATTGAGCGTGGGTTATATGTAAAGTGTTGTGCTGAGTGCTAGGGCATTCAGTCATTTGACAAATATTTATGCAGTGTTTTCTATGTGCTACCATTGTTCTAGCTTGTGGAGATACAGCAATAAACATATTACGTATCATATCTCTGTTCCTAATCTGGACTCGATTAGATCTACAGCTATAAAATTTAGTATTTCAAACTTGACAAAGAAGACATTTCCTAATGCATGTAAAATGTCTTAACTTCTTTAAATATAGCACAATGGAAGTTATGGTATGGTTGTTACCTGATGGTATGAATACAATATTGATGCCAAATATAGTATGAGTCAGCCAGGTGTACAATCCATAGAAGCCAGCCATTTTGAGGGAAGCATCAAACACCCCTCTAGAATGTCCAAAGATAAAAGAAAAAGTAAATAAACACAGTATCATTTTGTGATTCAGAAAAATCAATACAGGTACGTGTCGTTTAACATCCACGATATGTTCTGCGAAACAGGACGTTATGCTATCTGGACGTTGTGTAAACACCGCATTATATACAGGCAGTCTCCATACAATCCATAGTTAAATCCCCAAAAAGCCTATTATATTAAAACCTTATGGGAGCCCACCAGACAAAGCCCCAGAACTGCATCCACTGGATGAAGGAGGCTGGCCTTGCCAGGTCTGCGGCTGGGCGAGCAGGGGGCTGCGCTAGCAGCAGGATCAGGACTTTACGCACATCAGGGTGCAGGGGAGGGTAAGGCAGGGTGTGTGCGTGCACGGGTGCAGGAACATTGCTGGTGGTGGTGGCCCTGGCTGCCGCCGCCCTGTTGGTGCTGCTGCTTCCAAATCGTGTGGCCACTGCCACGGCTGCCAACCAGAGCCAGGAGCCTGCAAGCGCCCCCCCACCCACGGCAGGAACTGAGCAGCTATGGCAGGCACTGCCCTACACCAGGTGTGAAAGGCTGCACATCTGCTGGTCGCACAAATGAAGCCAGAAGGAGGGGAAGGAGGAGGCAGAGAAGGCCCTTTGGGTATTGGGATGCGCTCTGGAGCCTTGCTGCTCATTCATTCTGGGGGCTTTGGGGGCTTTAAAACCATTAAAACCTGTTGCCGTCGAGTTGACTCCGACTCATAGCGACCCTACAGGACAGAGTAGAACTGCCCCATAGGGTTTCCAAGGAACATCTGGTGGATTTGAACTGCCAACATTTTGGTTAGCAGCTGTAGCACTTAACCACTACGTCACCAAGGTTTCCTTAAAACCATTAGGGGGAAATAATAAACAAAAGGAGAGCAAGTTTCCCTTAAAAACAAACAAACAAACAAAAAAAAACCTATGGGACCATGGACATATATGCAGTCTGACACTGCCTGAATGGATGTTATGCCACACATGACTGTACTTAGAGGCTTTTAGCTACTTCATTCCAAATCTGTTAATATTTTCATTTTTTCTCCTGTTCCAAGAGCCTGTTTTCACTTTGTTTTAAAGAAGCAAAAAGATCTAGACATACTTTTAGAACGTTGAAAATACATGTTTAGTAAACTGTTGTTAAAGTTTCTGATGAAGAAAAAATAAATGTAATGAAGCACCTTAAAAATACCCTATTCACTTCAATAGTTCATCTCCTTTTCACTTCTGAAGCAAATAGTTCATGGCCAAAATGGATAGAAATAAAATTAAACATGTGAGTAACATGTTTCAGAGAATATGGTTAAACTCTAAGAAATTCAGGCTCTGGTCAGCCCTCCCCATTGGGAAGAGCAAGTGAGGAATAGTATAACTTGTACTTCATCAGTCTTTTCTCATCTACAAGTATCAATTTCCCACACTTATTCAACTATGTAACCAAGCCTCAAATGTAACTAACTTCTGTTGTAAATGCTATCAAAGAATGCAGGTCATGCAGGAAGAATTTATGAGAAAAAATTCTTAATAAACTCCAAAGTAAAATCAGAAAGGAGAAGAAACTACAAAGGGGATTAAAAAAAGACACATACATTCAGTGATTAATAGGAATGTAGATACATAAAAATCTGCAATCTTGGGGACTTCAGTTTTACTTTTCAGTTGGAAGATTAATAAGGTAGCACAGTGTAAGGAGGAGAATGAGGAGTTGTTCAGAAGAGAGCACAAAGGCAGTACCTTAAGTAATCCTAAGGTATCACAAAATTATAAAAGACAGGATTCTGTTGAGGGCAGGGGAGGTACTCCTATTCATGAGAAAAGTTATCTGTATTCCAAAAAGCAGAGACAGTAGCAGCAAAGGAAACATTTGTACACACAAAAAGAAACACCAACCTTTTCCAAAGCATTCTAGAAGGCATGGTGTAAGAGTAAAATCAAGCTCTGGAATCTAGTGATTCGGTCATTTAATAGGGTTCTGGGACATGGATTTGGTGACGATAGAGTGGCTTCCCAAATTGTGAAACCTTATTTGTTGTCCTGACCAAGATTTCACTTGAGAATGTCTTAAAGGTGCCATGTGACCTGACAATAAGGGTCGAGATACAAATGGTGTCAATAAGACTGAAAGGAAAGGAGACAGCCTACAAGAAGTATAAAGGATCTGAACAGTAACCGAATGGAGGAAATGACAGAGTTTCAGGTTTTGAACCTGAAGGGTCTAAAAGAGTGACAGTGTCTCAAAGACAAGGAGCTGGCCAGAATGAGAAAGACGTGGAAGAAAAGGGAGTAAGTTTAGTTTGAGGTATGGTAAGCCAATAAGGATGATGAAAATACCCTAGAGGTAGCTAGAAATAAGAGAAGGCTAAACAGAAAACTCAGGACAAAAGTTTTAAGATGCAGCAGCAAAGACTGATCATAAAGAAGGATAAACATCCTGAAGGGTAAGCCTAGAGAAAATGGGCAATGGGCTACATTCTCATAAAGGACCAAAGGACAATAATACACCAGTCAAGGAGATAATGATATCATTTCTGTAGAAGAAAGAAAATCACTAGAGTGTGTAGTATTCCCAGAGACCAAAGGAAAAGGAAGTTTTGAGGAGGGAAAGATAAGGTGAAATACCACAGAGATTAATGAGAATAAGGACTAAGAAAAAAAGTACTGAATTTGACTAGAAATGGGAAACCCCGGGAGCGTAGTGGTTAAGAACTATGGCTGCTTGCTAACCAAAAGGTCAGCAGTTCTAATCCACCAGGTGATCCCTGGAAACCCTATGGGGCAGTTCTACTCTGTCCTATAGGTTTGCTATGAGTTGGAATCGACTTAATGGCAAGGGGTTTGGTTTGGTTTGGGAAGGTCAATGAGAAAAGGTACAGATGTGGTATTTTCATTAACTTTATGCTATTTAAAAATTTTTTAAGCAAAAAAATAAATAAAAGTTGACACTGAAGGTACAAGAGAACATAACAATAGTATCATCCTTCTGGGTGGCAAATAAGCAAAGCTCAATCCAAAAAGAACCACATGTAGGAAACAGCACACAGTCTTCTTTCCTCTACTTCTGAGAATACTGATTGTTAGTGATACTCTTACTAAGGCAACTTGTAAATAATTTTGTGGACCCTGAGTGCATTTCTAACATGAGATGAAAAGGCAATGTATTCCCCTCTGTTTTATTACTTAAGGAGCCCCAGTGGTGCAATGATTAGTGCCTGATTGTTAACAGAAAAGTTGGTGGTTCAAACACACCAGCTGCTCCGTGGGAGAAAAATGCAGCAGTCTGCTTCCATAAAGATTTACAGCCTTGGAAACCCTATGGGGCAGTTCTTCCCTATGAGTCAGAATTTGACTCGACAGCAATGGGTTCTGTGGTTTACCTTATTACTTGTGATGTGACACATCTAAGTTTTTAAATAAACTGCAGAGAAAAATCCTCTCAGGATTTACCAAAGGTAGGCGAACTTTTTAAACATCCTTTATGTAAATTCTCTAGCAATTTTTTTTTAATTTATTTAATTACTTACCTACCTACCTAGGAGTGGAGATACTGGGTGATACAGTGTCTGTTTAACTTCATAAGAAACACTAGCAATAGTTTTGATCTCTCAGTTCAGAAAAAATTTATAGTCCATGAACCCAACCAGAAGTCACTCCTGCTACATTACCATTACATCTCCTCAAGGTATGAGGATAAATTCCATACTTATGGCATTCTGTGGGCAGACACTGGCAGTAGGAGCAATTCAGCCCATGAAAAGCTAACAATGCATCTAAAGCACTAGTAATTGACCCAGCATACAGTAGGTGCTCAATAAACAGTAGCTACTACTAATGCTATTGTTAGAGTTCTTTCGATCAATACATTGACTAATACTCAGAGGACTTTAATGATGATGAAGATTCTAGAAGCTTATACCTTAAAAGTCTAGTGTATCTGAATTGAGAAGGTAAAATAAAGAGAAATTAACGTTTGCCAAGTGCCTATGTGGTAGGCTGAATAATGGTCCCACAAGGATGTCTATGTACTAATCCCCAGAACCTATGAATATGTTACCTTACATGGCAAAAGGGACTTTGCAGGTGTGATTAAGTTAAGGACCTTGAGATGAGGAGATTATCCTGGATTATCCAGATGGGCCTGATGTAATCACAAAGGTCCTTGTAAGAGGCAATTCTGGAATCAGACAGTGGTGATGGTTGCACAAACTGTGAATATACTCAAAACCACTAAATTATACATTTTAAAATGGTTAAAACGTTTGTTTTATGTTACGTGAGCCTCAATTTTAAAAAATAAAAAAAAAGAGGGAGGCAATAGGGTCAGAATCAGAGAAGGAAACATGAGGAAGGAAGGAGAGGTAAGAGAGAGAGGAAGCTATTTGAAGATGCTACGTTGCTGTCTTGGAAGATGGAGGAAGGGGCCACAAGCCAAGGAATGGAGTAAAGTTTGTAAAGCAATTGCATATAGTAAGCTTCTCTTTCCTCCTTCCAGTTTTTGGAATTATACCCATTTTTGCTTTCTGATGAAGAAGGATAGAGTATGGCAGTGCTGAGGTGCAAGTAGCATACTAGTAACTTTTGGTTTAATTATTTTAAATTGTAAGGTACTGATCAGGCTATATGAATAATAACCCAAAATACCAAGCATGTAATCACTCATCTCTCAGCTTCTTTGGAACCTAAGTGCAGAGACTACTAGGAGTAATTTATTCTCATAATCAAATAAAACTTTATCTGGCACATAACTAATGGCATGCACAATAGAGCTTCAAGGGGTTACCAGAAATTATTACTTTAATCAATGCAAGAATATCCCTGACAGCAGAGGGCTGTGGGGACCATGGTCTTGGGGAACATCTAGTTCAACTGGCATAACACAGTTTGTAAAGACAGTGTTCTACATTCTACCTTGGTGAGTAGCGTCTGGGGTCTTAAAAGCCTGTCAGCAGCCATCTAAGATACTCCACTGGTCTCACCCCTTCAGGAGC